GCTGTTCTCCTCTTGGATCTTTTGAAAGTGGCGGGGTTTTGTCTTTCGGGGGGCTGTTCTCAGCAGAGGTTGCATCAGCTCAAGGCGGAGTTTCTCTCCTCTTGGATCTTTTGAAAGTGGCGGGGTTTCTAAAAAGCGGTTCCGTTGTTCCCAGCAAGAAGCACGCTCGTCTATATTTTATGCTTGCATACTCTCGATTTGATCCCAACATTCATCCCAATTATTATACAGCTTATAGTGATCACACATCATTTCAGACCCACACAGGGTACAACAATTACACTTATCACACCATATCCTATTTTGACACCAACCATGCCTATGTTTTCCACACCCACAAATATCCCTGCCCAGTATGGAAAACTGAAGCATGTTACTTGAGATTACATCTGAAACATTCCCTGAGACAGCACAGTGCTCTTCCTTTGGCAGCAGTTAAGAACTGACCACTGCTATTAACACAGTGGTGCTGCCATCCACCATCTCATCCTCTTGTACCATAAGGAGGACTGTCCCTTTGCAAAGGGCTTAGAAATTATACCCTAAAGAACCTCTTTGGCCATTTAATAATTTACTCATTCACATAGGACATATATTTTCCTAATTCAGTACCCCAAGTGACAACTTCCACAAATATTTTTTGAAAAACTGTTTTGACAGAGAATACTTCTATTTTAAAGCCATACAAACTAGCAAAGTTAATGGAGGTGAACAACTTCCTTAATAAAAACATGAGCTTTAATGCTAGATGAAAACTCTCACAGACTGTTTTGAGTTGCCACAGTTACTTGTACAAACTTCTTTGTATCCTGAAAGCTCCATCCACGGTGCTATACATGAAGGTTTTGGTTATCTATAATCCAGCTTAAAACTAGTGATTGAAAACCTAGGGAAATCCTTCAAGCTCCACAACTAAATTGTAAGATGGCAATTCCTACCTCGTACTCAACCACAATTTAGTAAACAGAACCCATACATGTAAAGAGTTATGACTAGTGTGGTACTGAAAATCTGTTTTCTGAAATGGCCTATTCCTAGTCCAGTTCCTGAACCTTCTTCTACAAGCACTGGGAAACAAAAACAGACTTCCCACCCCATCCCCAGTCTTACTTTGTGGAAGTCTCATAAGAATTAAAGTCCTAGTCAATAGAGCAGAGAGAGACAATTTTCAGGACTAGCTGTTTCCTAAATTAAATTAAATTGTAAATTAGGACAGATAGCTTCAAGTCAAAAACAAAAAAATCAGCTGATTAGTTTACCCATTGCTGCATTATAGCAAAGTGCTGACTTTTGACATGAGATAAACTGCAGTACATAATCAGACATTCAAAATGACATACATAAAGCTTCACAGAAGACTGAAGCACCAAAGCCCTGTTACAGCAGCTTGCCAACTAGGTCATGCAGTGGACTACCAGCAGTCCACTTCACTGTAAAAACAAAGTCTGATACACGTAGCAAAAAAAAGCTGTAAATATCTACACAGTGATTTCCTTTAAATGTTTGTTTTTCTACCTCTTAAAAAAAAAAAAAAAATCAGGAAAAGAGCAAATTAAGAAAATCGTATTTCATTCCTTGCCTGGAAAGAAGCTCCTAGAAAGTTACTGGCATGGCAAGCAGAAGGTTACTCCTGAAGACATGACAAACTTGCCATCCCCAGGCTTACAGAGCATCACATTCACAGCCGGCATGACTTAAATTGACAGAAATACTGCAAAAGTCAGCTACTTCCTGCCCAGCTGGTATAACCCGCTTATCAGGTAGAAGGTGAATGGCACAGGGAGGGAGAGGGGGTGGCAATAAAAATAGCCAGGAGGAAAAGGACCATGATAGCAGAAACCAAGCACTTCCTTACACCAAAGAGGGAAGAAGAACTGGAGACCCAGTAACTTTCCCCAGCTCTTGGAAATGCTTCATTGATTCAGTGCTAAATGTCAGAGGTGCTTTCCAGCACCTAACCCAGGGACTGCTCCCTTGGCTCACACTGTCTTGATGGCTAAGGTCAGTCTGTAAAGAAGTCAACCAAACATTTAAACTTGATAGTTCACCAGCTGAGTTTAAGCAAACCCTCAACCCTGGTTTTAATCTAGGAAAAAAAAAGTCTGCAGCTCCCTGTTGCTCATTTCTCTACTTAAATATACTTCCAGCCCTTCAACCTCATTCATACACAGAAACACAATCATCTCACAAGCCATAAAACCCTCAGCAACCATTCTTACCGTCAAAACCTTGATTTGTACCATTCTAGCTTATGAATTATACTTGAAGCAATTAAAACAGTATTACCTACCTCCAGTACACAAAACCCCGGACACCCTGCTTTTCATGAACTGTAAGGTTTTTCAAAGATGTAGTAAAAACTTATATGTGCCTTTTAATACGCTCAGCTTTTAGGATGACAGTTGCAGGACTGTCACTTCTGCAGCTGTTGCAAAACAAAGGATGTTTGGGTGCTCCCCTCCTCCCCACACCCCCTTCCAGTCTTTATATGTTGAACTGTTACAAAACTGTATTTCCAAATGTAACCACGCTGAATCACCTATGTATCCAGGACACAGGCTGAACAGTTCACAACCTTCTTATATCCTGCTTAGCACAGGATATAAGGGACAGTTAAGCTGCGGGTAGTGGCAGGGCTTGAAAACATCGCCGGAGATACACTGTCATTCTAAATCCCCCCTAAGCACTCAACACAGGCAGCTGCCTTGTTCAGCACTCACACTCACTCCAAGAAACCTGACTTCCCCTCTCAGTTGTTTAAAGAGTTCAAACGCTTCAATTACTGCAGTTACACTCCAGGGCCAGGGTGACTTGAGCAGCATTCAGTTCTTTTGGACATTAGCAATTCCTATCACAGGAGCAACCTCTTCAGAGCAAGCAGCTTGCAGACACTGGAATTCAAGGAGAAGTTTCAAGTAACATACTGAGAGCCAAAAAACAGGTGGTTCCCAGATACGTCTAGCAAAGTATCACCATGAATTTTAAAGACTGCAAAGTCTCTAGTCATAAGACACATTGCTGACAAGTTGTTGAGTGACAAGCTGAACGCCCTTCCTAGACTAAAACCTAAACAGGAGGTGAAATAGCAAGCTCCTTCTGTATACCAAGAGGACTTCAGAGAGCTTTCTCCCAGGTTTCCCCCTCTCTAATTGTACCTTCTCACACATAATCACACATAATTTCAGGGAAATTGCTCCCAGCAGCAGCAAACTAGCTCATATACATCAGCTGATTATGCATTACCATCCAGTAGATAATTATTTAACCCAACAGGATGAGGGTGGTAATCACTAGGGGTGTCAGGAGCTCTACCTCCTGGGGGGTATACCAACAGAAGAGCCCTTGATAAATTTGAAATTAAGTCCCCAGGAGGAAGATTATGTAAAAGATACAGCCTGGGCTGTATGGGCCAAAGGCAAAGGGTTTTCAGTCCCAGTTATAAAGAATGGGTTAATACAAGGGGAAGATCAATATGCTGTTAATGATCTGTTGTTAATGCCAGGGGTAGGATGTAATTTGCTAGGTAGGGATTTACAAGTGCAATTAGGAATAGGTGTGGTGCTGGATGAAGGAAAACTGGTGGTTAAATTACTAGAATTATGGGAAGAGAATCAGGGAGGATATTCAGGAACGAGAGCATCACTGTGTGGATTTTATAAGTTATCAAACGAAAATAAGAGAAGATCTGTTAGATGAACCTTTGTCCTCTAGGGAAAAACTGTTTATTGATGGGTCCTCTCGATGCCTACAAGGGAAAAGAATATTGGGTTATACAATTATCGAGGGGCAGAAGATGGAAGTGTTTGAAAAGGGAAATTACCTGCTGGGTGGTCAGCACAAGCCTGTGAACTCTATGCCCTAAAACAGGCATTGGTATATTTGAGAGATAAGGAAGGGACAGTGTACACAGACTCAAAGTATGCATTTGGAGTGGTCCACACATTTGGAAAAATATGGGAAGGAAGAGGGCTTATAAATACAAAAGGGAAGGAGCTAGTACACGAGCAGCTGATCAGAGAAGTTTTAGAAGCCCTGAAGCTCCCTACAGAAATTGCAGTTGTGCATGTGAAAGGACATCAGAGGGGAGCATCGATGGAAATAAGGGGGAATAATTTAGCAGATTAAGTAGCCAGAGAAGCAGCTACAGAATTATCATCAGTAGTTTTATTGGTAATAACAACAGGGGATTATGAGAATTTAACCCCAAATTTCACAGAACAAGAGAAGGTTATACTTAGAAATAGTGGGGGAAAAGATCCAGAAGGAAAATGGACTTTACCAGATGGAAAGTAGATGTTAAATAAAACATTATCATGAGAAATTCTGTCATTAATACATCAGAAAATACATTGGGGAACCCAATCACTTTGTGATCATTTTCTTAGACAATATGGGTGCATAGGAATATATACGGAGGCTAAACAACTAGTTGATCGATGTCTGATTTGTCAAAAAGTGAACAAAAAGGTAATGAGAAAAAGGTGGCTGGGGAACAGGAGCTAGCCATACAAAGCCTCCAGGTAGACTTAACAGAGCTACCTCGAATACAAGGGTGGAAGTATTTGTTGGTATTAGTGGCTCACTTAACTCACTGGGTGGAAGCAATCCCCCACACCAAGGGCAATGGCAACCATGGTATCCAAGGTGTTATTGGAAAACATTATCCCCAGATATGCATTCATAGAAAGAACAGACTTGGGCAGAGGAACACATTTCATTTCAAAAATTATGCAACAACTACCTGAAGCCTTACGGATCGCCTGGCCGTGGCACCCCCGGTGGCACCCTCGGAGCTCTGGGAGAGTTCTGCCCTGTGTCCCGGCAGGGGGAGAGCGCAGGGCGAGCTGCCTCCCGGGGCATGCCGGGAGCTGTAGTCTGCCGGCACTGGACGGCGGGCGCCATGCTGTGCTTGCCCCAGGGCATGCCGGGAGCTGTAGTCTGCCGGCACTGGACGGCGGGGGCCATGCTGTGCTTGCCCCAGGGCATGCCGGGAGCTGCAGTCTGCCGGCACTGGGCGGCGGGCGCCATGCTGTGCTTGCCCCAGGGCATGCCGGGAGCTGTAGTTTTCGCGGGCCCGGCCGCCGGACAGCTGCGCTGCTCTCTGCGGTGCGTGGCCCGGCGCAGCCCTCTCTACCGCCGCGGCCCCCGCAGCGCGGCTCGAGGTGCAGTTTTGGTGCCGGTTTTGGGTGTTTTCCTGCGGGCTCCCGGCTGCTCCCCGAAAATGCGGTCCTGCAGCCCCGGGGCCGCGCAGGCGCGGTGGGGGCGCCCTCTGCCGCGATCGCTGCTGCCTCCGCGGTTACCGGCACCGTGACGCGGCGGTGCTTGCGGAGCGGCGCCGCCTCGCCCGTCGCTTCCTCCCGGTCAGGAGCCGCCGCCGCCGCCCCCCCCCCCCCGTGCGCGGTGCCGCCGGGCGCTCTGCGCGCCGATCGCGGTCCTGCAGCCCGGCGGTCGCGCGCCGGCTCTGGCCCCTCCGGCGCAGGCGCGGTGCGCGGGAGAGAGAGGGGCGGGGCGGGGCGGGGCGGGGCGGGGCGGGGCGGGGCGGGGCGGGGCGGGGCGGGGCGGGGCGGGGCGGGGCGGGGCGGGGCGGGGCGGGTGGCGGTGAGGGGAGCGAGCCCCTTGGGCGGGGGGGGGGGTGTCTCCTGGGGGCGGGGGGGACGGGAAGCGGCAAATTGGGCTGTTAGCGGGAACATTTTTGTTTCACTTTGGATGATAGTGCTAGATGAGTAGTTCTTTTTTTTCGTTTATGCTCTTTGAATTGTTTTTTTGCCAGTTTCTTTTATGATATATTAAAATTGCTAAGTGTTTCCTAAAAGCTGTGGGACTTTCAGATAATTATTTTCTGGTGGCTTTATCTGTGCAGGGCTTTTTTTACTTTATTCTTTTTTTCTTGTGTCAGCTTTTCTGTTCTTCTGGTGGATGTGCATACTGTTTTCAGCTCCACTGGATTTCAGAAAAGGGAGGGAGCAGGGGAAAGCCAATGCATGATGTAGTGTAGGACGTTTGCCCCGGCTCTTTGTGACTTTCTTTACCGATGTGTCTTCCTTCACCTTCCTTCCTCCCGTGTACTACTTTTCTAGGATACTGCTTTGATATGTCTCAATGTTTTTTGAGAAACAATGATGACCATCATAAACTAAAGATCTTGGCACTCTTGGTCTGCCCAAAGGCTTTCTTATACTCTGAATTGCAATGGCATAGCTATCATAAAGAACAAACATTGCAGAAGTTGCTAGTGTGACTGTGAACAGTAAATGGGACAGACCCGTGACACTAGCAGTGTGCTGCAGCTGGATTAGGCTTCATACCTCGCCAGCACTGAAGGAACCAGGCCTGTGTGAACTCAAACCGTGAAAGGAGATGTCCAGATACAATTTCCAAGCGGGTACAAAATGCTGATCACATACATACACTCTGAAACACTGTAAATATTATCTGACAAGGAAATTGTGACAAATTCACATTTCTACTGACTCACACTGCTACTGTAATGCTTTAATAACAAAAGACTACAGCGCCCACAGTTTCCTTCCCACTGGAAATGGAATAGACTGCAGCATATGCTTTCACTGATAGAAATTAAAAGTATTCTGACATTAATTATTAACATTTAAATCACATTTTAAATATTAAATGCAAGAGAAGTCATGTTATTTCCCTGGGAAAGCTAACTGCTTTCAGGGTCTAATGACAGGGAAATGAGCCTTCAGTGCTGCCAGCCTTTTCGGCTTCTTGCCCTCCCAGGGCCGCAGAGGCCCTCAGTAGATGGTAAGGTGTCCTGCCTGCAGTGGCACTGAATGTGTTTGAGCCATTCAAACATGTTCATGTCACCTAAAACATTCTACCGGTGGTGATTAGGCAACGGATACAAAATGTTCTCCTTTTTCAGAAAGTCGGTATTCAAGATACTCCTGTGGGATATGTAAGTATTTTTTGGTGAGTGTGCTCTCCCACCGTGTGTTCTGTGGGTCTGCGTGTGCCTTTCATCACACAAGTGAAAAGGCTGCTGAGTAAAGGGCTGCAGGGTGGGGAACATCGACAGGATGTGGTTTACACAGCTTTTTGTTGAATTGTTTTGCTTAGTTTCAATTTTTTTTTAGCAGTGAAACGAGAACACAAGCTGAACCCATAGCGTTTCTTTCAAGATAACTAGAATTCAGTAATTCAGTTACTGTGGAGGAACGCCTAGTGATTCCTTGTACAATTAAAAGTCATTAGACTAAACACCTGGCATTTTAGTGCACCAAAATCAGAGGCCTTAGGTGAACAGGATTTCAGATACTAGAGAATCTGCCAACCAGGATAGACCTGCCCAGTCAAACCTCCTACGTACTGTAGATGGAGATAAAGTCCCCATAGGGCACATTAAAATTATGCTGGGGGAGACAGTCTGGGTTATTCCTGCCTCTGGTAAAGGTAAACTCATGCGTGGGATTATTTTTGCCCAAGGACCCGGGTGCAGTTGGTGGGTAATGCAAAAGGACGGGGAATTCAAATGTGTGCCTCAAGGGGATTTGGTTTTGGGTAAAAATAGCTGATGAATTGAACTGTATGATGTTAATTGCTAAATAACCCTGTTATTGAAGATGGTCATCACTACGGTTGGTACATATTATACTAACGACATCAGATTAAGGATCACCCAGGTTAATGAGAAATGAACTTTGATAGATTCAGGACTGAATTGGTGCCCAGCAACTTCCTTGAGATCAACATCTTCAGCCCGCAATCTGTGAGCATGGACCACACCAGATACAGCTGCTAGGAGCTCCAGATGTAGCAGAGGCTACGTGCCCTCCTCCTGCTGTGCCCAAGACCACCCGCTCCACCCACCGAACCAACAGCACATCACCCCGCCTGACTTAAAAGACTGTCATGACAGTGGACCCCAAACTTATGGACTATATGAACTCACTATACACTGTTAGAGGGATGGCCTAGAGCCTAAGGGAATGATATCTGTGTGTATACCTCAAAAACCAGGAAATGGGATGGTGATTCCTTAGAACGTACTGGGAAACATGGAACCTGAGCATAACATAAATGGGATGGAATAAGGGGTGGATACTGTCCTGGTTTTGGCTGGGATAGAGTTCATTTTCCTTCTTAGCAGCTGGAGTAGTGCTGTGCTTTGGATTCAGTAATGGGTGTGGTAGGAGAAGAATCTTGCTAATACACTGATGTTTTCAGTTGTTGCTGAGAGCTCTAAGACTCTCCAACTCCCCATGTCCTGCCTGTGCGTGGGTGCACAAGAAGCTGGGAGGGAGCAGAGCAAGAGCACCGGACACAAATTAGCCAGTGAAATAATCCCCATCATGTAATGTCGTGCTCGGTGTATAGAGGAGGGGTGGTCGGGAAGGGAGGGCTCTCGCTTCTGGGATTGCAGTTTTGGGATCTTCACTTCTCTGGGATCACTGGCTGGGAATGGGCTGGGCATCAGTGGGCAGGTGGTGAGCAATCACATTGTGCATTACCCCTTTGTATTTTACTGAAAAAAAAAAAAAAATTACACTGTTTTTATCTCAACCTACGAGTCTCTTTAGCTTTACCCTGCCATTTCTCTCCCTCACCCCCGAGGGAGGGGAGGGTGAGTGAGCAGCTGTGTGGTGCTTGGCTGCCGGCCAGGTTTAAACTACATCAATCACTATCTCAAAAATCATTATTGGATTAATTAAGATACGCCCACTCACAACTTGAAAAGCAGTCAGAAAAAAGGAGAAAAATAATAATCTTGGTTCTGCAGTTACCATAAGGCAGTATATTTAGACATCTGTAAGGTTCCAGTTTCCAACAATGCTGGCTGCCTTTTGATTTTTTGAGATAAGTACTGTTAGCAGTAAAATCAAATGTTTCTATTGGAGTTGTGTTCAGGGCAAGCATTCAGTATTCAAGTAGTTTGTATTTACCGTAACAAGACATTCACTCATTCATTCATTTAGGTAAGGGCTTTGCTATTCTCTATATATTATGAACTGCCTTGGCTTTCTTTCCAGTTTTATAAAGGACTCTTGTGAGAGGTTTCAGTGATAGCAGATAGCCACAGCCTGCAAGGGAGCCGTTCCTTGTGTTGCCCTCACTGCAGATGAAAGCCCTTCGTAACAGAGAAGGACAGAAGCAGGTAAAGTGCGGAGCCGTGGACGAACGACACGCTGAGACGGGTTCAATGTGGGTGATACAGCATCAATCTACATGTGTGTGTTTATTGGTCAGGGTACATATATTTATACAGACAACACTATTATGCCTACTAGTCACTAGCTGATTGGCTTAAGCTCTAAAGGTTGTATTCGCACGGTCCACCTACTTGCAGTCAGCAAACAGCACAAGCTGCTCATAACACTAAGTTTCTCATGCCACTATTTCTAATTCCTCTTGACTTGTTTTCGATACACAACAGTACCGTAACAAAATGTTTCTCAGACCACCGTTACCATAACACTGGGTTTCTCAGACCATCGTTACCATAACACTAGGTTTCTCAGACCACTATTTCTAATTCCTCTTAACCTGTTTTCGACACACCACGGTACACAAGGCCGAAGCGTCCTTGACATTCCTCATGTATCAGGCAGCTGCGGGCAAACCCTAGTGAGGCCCAGCATCAGCGAGGCAGCATCAGCCCTTAGAACAGGATCTGATCGTACAACTGCTCGGTGGGCTCAGGACCCTTGTCTCTGAGCCATTCTCCAACAATTCCCCCTTTTTCTTTTTGTATGAGCAGAGCCTGCCCCAACGTATGTTCAAAGATTTTCTTAATACATGAGAAGGCACAACTTAAGCATGCAGGCTTACAATCTATTGGCTAAAGGCACTTATCACGCACCCAGAAGTGCTGTGATAGGTCTGCACCGTTAGCACGCGTGAACAAACTAAATCTACTTTGTGGTTAGTGCATCCAGGCATTCAAACAGGGAGGAAGCACTCGCTTGACTTCCTCCTTCTTGCCCTTCCAGGTGACCTCAAGGGCAGGATTACCACGGGGCAGTTTTCTGCTCAGAGACCCAGCCTGGATTGTCCAAACCCTGTAGGATCAGTGCATGACCCTGATACCCCCCAAAAAAATTCCTACCAGCTTTTCCCCCTTTTTCTTTTTTGGACAATCCAGACTCCTTTTCATGTTTGAATCATAGCATTCATAAAGCATTTCCACACAGACCCCAATACCATCATGACAATCATAATGACAATCAGCATTACCAGTCCATACATCAACAAAGCTTTCAGACAGCCAGTAATTTCCAAGTTTTGTAGATTTTCAACCATCATCCGTCCATTTTCCAAATTCCCAAGTCTCGTAACCAGTCTGTCAGTCCATGTTCCAATCTTATGCAGTCTTATGTAGCAGGAAAACCACCCTTACAGTTCAAAAAGTGTCAGCAATTGTAACCACAGAGTATGCAATACAGAATTTCGTACAGGTTTCAGCATGCTATGTTCTAAACATTGCACTGAACCCAAAACATACAATTAATCTGATACTACATGAACAAGTTCTTGATACCAGTGTTGATCTTGAAACACCCAGATGACAGTTCAGAGTTCTAAAGTTCGTAAGGAGTCTCCAGACCCCCTGAGGAGAATCTTGTGATCCTGTGTTCCCGGGTGTCCCCCATCCGTTGTCACTACCGGGCAGGCCAACGCCCCAGCAGCATGCCAGTCCCCTTCTAACAAGGCACCCCGAATCCCCCCACTCCATCGGGGCTGAGCTAAAAGCGGAGCTGGTTCTGGTGAGGGTGACGGGAGTGGGTGTGGGGGGGCTGCCGGCAGCGCTTCCTCTTCTTGTCATTGTAAATGCAGAGTTCTGCTCTGTAGCTCAACTTCTGTAATTTTCTGTCAAGCTCCCGGACTCTGTCCCTGTCCCTTACCGGTGTGTGACCCTGGTGCTTTAATTCGGACACAGCCGCCGCTTTTCTCTCCGACTCAGACGCTGACGCGCCGTCAGGGGCGGAACCATCCGAAGGGGGGGGGGGGGGGGCAGAGGTTCGGGCGGCAGCCGCTCCCCCCTGTCCCCCCGCGCCGCCTGATTTCTCTGCCGCTTCTTGCGCGGTGGAGCAAACAGGAACACTTGGTGCCGTGCCCTTAATAGAGCGGAGCTGCTGATTAACCCCGAAGAAGGTGGCTGATCGGGACGGGCGGTTGGTTTCGGCAGGGACCGGCGGGGATGGTACAGCGCCGACAGCCGCCATGGCAGCAGCAGCTACTTTCTGTTCTGCTGGCATCTCCCCCAGGGCTTTTACGGGCGTTCGCCAGACCAGCCCTTGCTGTCGTGCTTCACTGCCTTTATTGCCTCCAGTGATGGTCTCGTCCCACAATAAATCACCTACTTCGTGCCACTCCTGTTGGCTAAATATTAGCGAGGGGCCATCGTCCCTCTGCTCCTTCGCCTCTGAGGTGGGGGGGGTGTGGGGGGGCATGACTGTAAGGGCACTGGGGGGGGCTGGCCTCCGGACTGCCCCTACTTGTGTTAACTGAAACCGGCACTGCTGTGGATGGTACAGGAATACGATCACTGTCAAAGGGCATAGGTCCGGATGCATCACTTTCTGGGGCAACAGTGGAACTTTCTCCCCCCAACTTTGTGGTTACCACAGCTGCAAGGTTCTTTTCAAGCTGATACCGCTTAATATTATTCACCACGTCCTGCCACGGTTTCATCATTTTCCTTGTAGCTTTATCCTCGTCAATTACCATATCCCATAAAATATCACCTAATCGTCTCCACTCCTCGACATCAAAAAGAGAATTAGGATCTTGAAAACATTCTTTGACCCGTCCTAATGTTACTAAACCCACGAGTCATTTTATACAATCCACTCCCCGCTTTTCTAAAAAGTGCTGTAATAAAGCCAGGGCTACCTCCTGTTCCATCTCGTCAACCTGGTGCTCCTTGGTTAAGGCACCTCCGGTCCTGTGCTCCTTGGATAAGGCACAGTACCGTTACTGCCGACCCACCCCTGATTAAGGCACCGTCGGCCCTTTGCTCCTTGACTAAGGCACAAAAATACTCCCACCAGCCTGTGCCCCTTGTTTAAGGCACAAAAATACTCCCGCCAGTCTGTGCTCCTTGACTAAGGCACAAAAATACTCCTGCCGGCCTGTGCTCCTTGTTTAAGGCACAGAAATACTCCCGCCGGCCTGTGCTCCCTGATTAAGGCACAAAAATACTCCCGCCGGCCTGTGCTCCTTGATTAAGGCACAAAAATACCCCCTTACTTTGATATCTTGCTGATGCTCTGTGATTAAGGCACCAGTTGCAGCTCTTGCCAGCAGCCCTTGCGGAGAGCGACCCTCTATCTCGGTTCAGATCCTTGGAACGACCCGTCGGAGGCCCACTGTCTGATCGTTCTTGATCGGCTAGGCGCTGCTGTCTCTGATGTTTCCCCGCGTTCGTTTCTGCTGCTGCTGTATGCTGCGCCTTTCCACGTCATCTTCCAGCGCCCCTCTGTGTCAGTTTCGGCACCTCCCCGCTTCCGCTTCAGGGGGCCACTCTGCGTTCGCTTCGCGTCCGCCCCTGGGGCTGCCGCAGTCGGCTCCTTACCGCTTCAGTTCCGGTGCCACTCCACGCCCGCTCTCGGGGCCGCTCCGCGCCTGCTTCCGGGACCACTCTGCTTCCGCTCTCGGGGCCGCTCTGTGCCCACTCTCGGGGCCGCTCCGCCTCCGCTCTCGGGGCTGCTCCGCTGGCTCGGGGCCGCTCCAGCCGGTTTCTCTCCGCGTACTCTCCCGGGGCTGCCGGGGCCGGCGCCTCTCCGTCTCAGCTCGTGGACCCCGGACACTGCTGTATTTGGTGTTTCTCTGGGTCCGTTCTCGAATTCCTCAGTGTTTGCTGTTTTCTCTGGGTCCGCCGCTCCGTCCGTGTTATTCTTCTATGCAGGTCCCTGTTCAGGCGCCAGCTTGCGGAGCCGCG